ACAGGTACTGTAAATAACCGTATCGTCTCTATATATTAATGTTGGTTTAAAAATCATGATTTTCGCGTCTAGTAACATACTATAACAATAACATCGACAAGTACATCTGACCCATTAGTTGACATTTGTACTTGACCCTGGAAGACTTTTTCTTGAGATGAGTTCCAACTGAAGGGTTTCCATCCGCTATAAGGAGCGCTGTTTAGGCGCATCCGTTCATATATCCATCGTAAAAAAAAAACTCATAGAGGAAATGATCCGTTGAAAGATCAGCTCGAAATGTCAATCAATACGGATTTTTGAGTTGCGCTTGGATGTCCTACTTACACATGAACCTTCGAAAAATTACGCCTCAAAAAAATTCGCCAGGTTGAAAAGATGTGTAGATATACTTATCAATTGCGCTCCTTATTTTCTAAAACTTTTATAAGACTGAAAAATGCAAAAAAAAAACAGAATATCCTAATTTGGTATGCCTCTTGATGAATTCTTCATTCCTTCAGTCACCTTACGAGACGTGTGAGACATTCTGCCAACCTGAATGTTGCAAGCATTCCGCCAAAGTTCTCGCGTAAGTTTTACTGCTTACAAAAAACTCTGAAAAAAATTCCCCAACGGCTGGGTTGGAATGGTGCCTACAAGAACCCTTGAGAGCTTCTCCGTTTAATGCTACAGTAGTCCAATCAATACGGTAGTTTTAGAACGAAAAACCCCTGCACTTCGAAACACAGTTTCAATCAATCCTTGTCAAGCACATACCAGAGACTGCCAGGTATATTGCGTATTCATTGATTCAGAAAGAATCAGTCTTAAAATGCCTGAGTGCTAACCGTCGGCCCTGGATGTAAAGGGACGAGTTGTTTGCGTTTTCAGGTACATTTGCGATGTCCTACCAGACTGGAGATGTCAGCGGATTCCTTGGCCAAGACACTTTCTGTGTAAGCACATTACCAACCAAAATTTAACAAAGTTTTTAAGATACATCAGAGACATCTCCGTTTACCTTTAGCCTGCATTTGAAATTACCAGTTTAGATCTACAATTCCACCCTTTGCGCGTATAATCAAGGCTTTGGTCAAGTAACACAGATGGCTGAAGCATTCGATAAGCAGCCTGAAGATGGTATGATTGGACTGGGATGGCCAGGTCTAGCCTATGATTCCATCACTCCTCCAATGTTCAACCTACTCAATCAAGGACAGCTTGATCAGGTGAGAGAGATACTTTAAAGGCAATATCCAACTAGAAGGTCCAAGGTAAGCTTAGGGTTAGGATCACACACCGGAGAAAGCTTCCCTCTGGCTTCCGAACGGCATGTAGTAGGACCCAGACAACTGGTAAAGACACCATCGAGGCCCAGCGGCGGCGAGACAACTAACAAAAATCTCCTTGCACATGCAAGGAGACGGGACTTCCACCAAACAGCCTGAACATTCAAATAGGATTTACCCACCTGAACAAGCCTGGCTTTCGAAAGAGGAACTGAGCCAATTTACCGATTTCTGCATCTTCAGCCATACTTCGTCGTCTACATGCGACATCTTGGCAGTCATTCAGCTAATGATGGTGGACAGCTGACTGTAGGCGGTCTTGATACTGATCACTGCTCGGCTACGTACGATCCTATTCCGCTCACATCAAAGACTTTCTGGCAATTCAAAATGTCCAGGTATAAGAAGTTTTTATTGGTCCCCTATAAATGGACTGGTACCTTCTCAAAACCTATGAGTACGGTAATTACCACATTTCAGTGTATCTGTGGGATCCTACACAGCCGCACCGAGCACCGGATGGCAGGCGATATCCGACACAGCGTCTACATTCATTGGGGGACCAAAAGCCATCATCGACAATATCGCAAAGCAGTGCGTTTGACAGTTATCGGAAAATATACAAATAAACTTCATAAATATAATTGTTGATATTCGGTGATACTATGTGATCCAATACTAAATAAGTTCATGAAATATAACCTTTATCTACCTTCAACTATCGTAAATTTATCTACTTACTAAGCTTCGTACTACTTTTCAGAGTTGGCGCCATATGGATCGAATCTTTAGGCTCTTATTTTATTGACTGTACTGGTGACCACCCTGATATCGTATTTGGGATCAATGGGAACTCCTACAGTATTTCGGCAACCAATTACAGACTTTCGGTAATTTCTTCGCATCTGCATAAGTATTGAACAAGGCTTTTTTAAAAACACTATGAATAATTTACAGGCCGGTATTGGACTGTGCATGTTCGGGTTCTTCCCATCTACAGGTGGTGGATTCTATCCTTCGTGGATGCTTGGGCCACCGCTGATTAGGGAGTACTGCCAAATCCATGACATGCAAGCTGGCACTATCGGTATGGCAAAAGTAATTTCCGCTTGAGTACAGTAGCTGATTCTGTCAGAAGCCGAATAGTGAAAGCTTTCAACCTTACCATGTCTTATCTGTACATTTGTAAGTCATAATAAAGATAAATTTTAAAGTATAACTGTAACACTTGTGTCCAATACCAGGAAAATATCCTAAAAAATATTTACACCAGATCACAAAAAAGTGGAAGCGAGATTCCAGCGGACGTGACCAGAAAAGGCTAACGATAGTGGATCCATCAGAACTAAAAGGATTGAAAAATTAGTCTAGAAAACGATCCTCACAGCAATTAGCTGCTTTCATAGTCCACGATTTGGCGAGCGACCGGTCGCGCGATCAGTCGCTCGGTCGCTCGCCAAATCGTGGACTATGAAAGCAGCCATTCAGCCTCCGGTCCTGGTACGAGTGCGTAAGAGTGTTTATCTAGATCAACGGCCACAACGCGACCTCTTGGAGATCTTATTGTCCAAAGTCCTATTCGTTGCCTCGTGTATATGGCACATCCAGGATTTTGTATTCAAACAAGGTCATGCTTCGAAACGAAATATGATGTCTGTCAGCATGAAAGTCCTGCGTTCACTGCATTCTGATTGACCCCTGAAATCTCTGCCGTACCGCGATACCAGTCTGAATTTCCTCGTTTTCAGAGCTATCGCTATTCAGCCATTGTCCCACAGTATATACGTTTGATATAAATAAAATTTTCAAGCTGTTTCGAGAGGCAGCCCCGCATTCGACTTCCATTCAGAATCGTAGCGACGTTTCAAATGTGTACGTGTGGCCTATATATTGACTTGTGTAGCCAGCCGATGTACAAGTCAACTTTTGTTCTCCCAGATGACTATTTCATCAAGAAGCCGACCCCGGGGAGTGGAAGCCTTGGAGAGGAGCACTCTCAGCACTATAGAAAGGAAAAACCCTACTGAAAACCCAATATTTATCTGCAGCATCAAGGCTATACATTTTACTTTACCTACGTATTGGTTGAGCAATCATACAGCAATCACAACAAAATATGGCGTTGAAGCCTAAGAACTACTCCAAGTAATACTTACTGTACAACATAGGAAAGACTAAAACCAGACCATTAACTTCATCAAACTGTCAAGTGTAATTTCTCGACCAAACAGGTTTCATGGCATCGTATTCCTGGTCTACTTGAAGATCAAGTCCATCTACAACGTCCCTTCCCTCTTCGTACTGTGACGTGCCCTCAGTGACGACATCTGGGTCGTCCTCTGGTAGATTCTTCATTATTCTCCTAAACAAATAAAAACGTAGTAGCTACTAAAACTATTAGTGGCAAGGGAAAACTGTTCAAAAGCTATCATTTAAAAAAGAAAAAGGCTAACCTGCACAATTCTATATTTCTAATAATATTCTGAAGCGATATTTGTTTTTCCAACAACGCGTGATCGACATGGAAGGGACCAAAAGTGCTTCTGAAAATAATCTCAACATCAGTTATCCAGTATATGGAACACATGGGTACATTGTTAACGTGCCAAATTCTCTGATTGAGCCTCAACTCACTTCAAAGAAAATACAGCAGAGTAATCATAAAGTGGATAATATTTTCACTCTCCTAATAAAAAAAGTGCACATTTTAGATTAGAAAAATATTGAAATGAAAATCGAGAGCCATTTTAATGACGAACGCAGAGTAAAATTCAACCGGGATCAGTACGAGTGTATATGACATTTGATCAAGTTTTTTTCACCATGATTCCGTCGTTATTGACCCAACTTCATGACACCTAAGCATGATTAGGATGTACGTATCACCCTAATGGCATTACCTCTTCGATGACAATAGAAATTTCCCGGTTAGAAGTTTTTTTTTTTCAAAATAAAGTTTCATCTGTTGCTGGGTCAAGGATACTGACGCAACATGATTCCTATTATATTCGCAGGTGAGGCGGTATCGCCAAAGCGGCGCAAGGAATGGAGCTGAAGGATCGCATTCAAGTCTTTGGCTAACTTTTCAGAAACTACGAAACTTGAATGCATCTTGAGCCCATAAAAGTAAAGCAAAGTTAGCATGAAAATGTCTACCTTTGTAATCGAACACAGCTGGCTGTTGTTCCTAGACTTACGCCCAATTCATGAATGAAGCACCTGCAAGAAAGATGCTACGGTAACTCAAGTTTTCAAAATTATGCACGGCATAACACCAAAAAGATTCGACGTTTAATCTACGCCCATGCCACAGCTTCATACGAGTTAGTTTCCATCTTACCTGATGAAAATGAACAGAGAACACCACTACAGTAAGCACACGAGCCTCACCTCAAAAACGCGTCCGTTTCTCCAACACACTGAACTTGAAGAGCGAAAAAGGGTAAACTGAAATGCTTAACATCACACTTGTAGACAATCTGGGCTCCAGCCAATTGTGCCCGTGGCAGTCCCTTGCGAGCTATCTCGAAAGCTGCCTCGCTCTGAAAAGTAACAGATTATAAAACACCAGTTAAGAAAAACACATTTTTTATTTTGATTTTTTTTTGTTCATATAAGTAGAAAATAATCGCGTTAAAATTACCTGCAAATCAACCTCGGCAGCTTGAAAAGCCATTTTTCGATATTCTGACTGAACCCTAGCCAGAAGTTTTTGCAACCTATGACGAGTGACATGGTCTGAAAGCTAATCATTGAAGAGCCACGGTATACGTGCCAATGGATTAATTCCTCTAGATCTCCGAACACTGGAAACACGAACGCTGGTCTCCAAACTATATCAAAAAAACAGAACATTTCTTTTTGTATTATAAGGGGTAGAAGAGTTCATTGTGTAAGCCCATGAACCTTCACAAAAAGCATTGAAAAATATCTCAAAATAATCATAAACTCTGAGAAAATTCAACACACCATAATCAGCCCTTAGGGTTACACGCCCTTTGATAGTGTGCTTATTCGTTTCACGGCCAAATATACCTTCCAGTCGATAGTTATTTACCCAAGAGCGAGCTTGGATCTCCGGAATTTTGTCGCATTCGTCGTTCAATGCAAAAACTGAAGTAACTGCAGTTAGTCTACTTGAAAGCTCTTGGAAAGAACGCGAGATTATTCTACATGCCAGGGTCTGAAACTCAAACAGGATAGATGTACATGACCAGTGCATTCGCTCCACTAAATCTCCCTACAGCACGACATAGCTTTTTTCAAATATCTTCTCAGAAAAACGTATTCGTGAGGTTCTTTTCCGCAGTGGACCAGCGTAGGGTGCGACCAATCGGAGGTTCTGACTGAATATAATACCAGAAGATTAATACAAAGCAAAGTTACTAAAGATTTAAATGGGCAAAAAGCAGTAAAGAGGATTGGTAAACCGTAAGGACGGCAATGTGGTGTGAAGCACGACTTATTCCTAGACACAGATTGACCTTGGCGAAGTTCACAAGAGCAAGGTACTTGCGAGAAGCAACACAATGATGCTCCCCAAGGATCCTCTTTGAAGTAACTCATTTGTGGACAAAATTTGAGACATATATCGGAGCCAACTCACCACATACTCCAGAGGATGTACTTTCCATGAAGTGAACCTCTTCCAATCTGATATCTTCGGGACGAAAAGTTTCACCACAAACGAGGGGGTGCAGCCTGATAAGCAACCATCATCACACCAGCCCCCACACATTCGAATAATATGGAAACCTTACGTGTAATCTTGTATCTCCTGCTCTCCGACCACCAGCAGTGCTCCACTCGTCTCATGTGGTTCCACTATAGGTACCTTTATCATTGGAAGTCGAGGCATTCCTACTACCTCGTTCCCGTCAGCGCATATACGTTTAACAATCTGCTTCTTCAAGCCACTGATTGACAAGTCTACAGGTTTATAGACACAAATTAATCCATTCAATGCTTTCCACAGTTTAGTCCTCATCTCCTAAGCTGAAAATCTCATATTTAGCAACATGTACACCTAAAAGGCCTATATAATTACAACGTTTGCTACACACCAATCAAAATCATTATATTAAAAGTTTATTTGGCATTTGATATGTCCCACCACTACTGATATCTTAGCTTATTGAGCTCGAACTGTTGTTTTAGCATTAGCGGATTGATGTTTTATTTCGCTGAGTCCTCGAATTGACTTCGACAAGCTTGACGCAAGACGTAACTTTAACATTAGCGTATGTCTCGGTAACCATCTCTGAATCAACCTCAGAAAGGAGCCAAACAGTTCGCGATGCCCTAATGGCACTCCCTCACATAAGCGTCAGAATCGCCGTGGCATTGGATTTTTGGGCAGAAGTCGATTAAATCGGATCTTTGTTCAGAACCTTTTCACTGAGATCTCAATCGTGCTGTGAAGGAGGCTGCTCTGCACAAAGAAATGAAGCATTAGGATTCAATCCTTCACACTAGACCATAGTGCAAGCAGAAGTGGACTCTGCATCTTGACGGTACATGCCGCAGCCGCGTCTTCATGTGTACTTCTCTTCATGTAGCTAGTGTTACTGAGTTCGCAGTGACAAGGCTTCAAATTCACACTGACCCACCATATTCCTCTGCCACCTCCCTCCGTAACTTTTTTCTCGCAACGTTCAAGCACTTCTGTGTAAACCTATCAATCCAAGGAGCTCTGAAGAGTTGAAGCAAATACGCGCCAATCAACAACTCTTCTTTTGCCACTTGAAAAGAAACCATACACCTTTCTTTTTTTGATTCAATTATACATGATTGTCTTGCAGTACATGACAAATTCAATGAATGTTCAGATAATTGTATGTAATGCGACACAAAACACTGTGGAGTAGACCAAATCAACAACATTTATCAACAAAACAAAATAATCATGCCTTCTTTTGAGCCAATCGCTTGTCCCTTTCTTCTGCAATGGTAAGACGAATACCTTTAGAGGCAGGTAGAGATACGAGAGCTTTGTTGCCCTTGCCGATAACGAACACATTTGTCACACTATAACAATTCTTCCGCTTGGCTTCCAAATGGAATAACATTGGAACATAACCAACCTGGGTCGGCAGTTACGGCATTGAGCCCCCGACCTTCTCTCTCCTTCCCAAATAACTTACCGAGTGGCGAAGGAGTGTCCAGCAGCATCCTTGATGTGGATGATGTCAAAAGCACCAGGGAGCTTCTCACGATGTCCGATCACACCAACACGACCTACGTTACGTCCGCCAGTAACCATAGCGAGGTTTCCAGCTTCGAACTTGACGTAGTCGGTGATCTTGTTTGAGGTTAGGTCGATGACGACAGTATCGTTTACCTAAAAAGAACACTCACTAGATCCAAAGTTACGTTCTAATAACTATTATCTTGAGTAGAGATTACATATAATTTACAGAAAAGATCGTAACAGAAGACCGGGAACTGCATAAGCCCGGGCGGCTACCTAACAATCATTAAATTGAAACTTTCCCAGAAAAGCTAATTATGAACCATTACTGTTACCATCGGATTCATCGCAAACATTTTGTTCTATTCACACCTCCCACTAGGATTCAAGGGCTTTCACAAAGCGAGAGAATGTCTACCAACCAATCGGTACAAAAGAATCACAAGAAGAAAATCAAACTTGGAAGCATACCTTGATATGTGGGTCAGGATATCTGATGGTGCGTCCGTCATTAGTAGTGATGTATGGGATATTCTTCTTAGCCACGTGAAGAGCCTTAACCTTGCAGAGCTTGAATTGCCCCTCTGCGGCCGTGATTCTGTGGACGGTATATCGGCCCTTGACGTCATATAGCAGACGGAATGTCTCGTTTGTTCGCTCAATGCTGATCACATCTGTGAAGTGAATGAAAAATTGGAAAAAAAAGTTGGGTTTCGATTAGATATGGACCAAAAAAAGGTAGAAAAGCTTACCCATAAATCCGGCAGGGAACTTGTGGTCGGTACGGATCTTGCCATCAACCTTCACAACTCGCTGACGCATAATCTTCTTCACTTCAGAGTAGTTCAAAGCATACTTCAGACGATTGCGAAGGAAGAGGTTGAGAGGTAAGCATTCTCGGAGCTTATGAGGTCCACTTCTTGGTCGGACAGCGAAAACTCCTCCGAGCTTATCCAGCATCCAATGTTTTGGTGCTGCTAGACGCTTTAGATGCTTCTTCGGTCCACGAGCCATTTTTGCTCAGCAGGGTAACCGCAAGCTGAATTAGCGGGATTATTCATAAGAAAGAAATTATCACCCACAAAACAGTAAAATTGGGGACATTTAATGCAAGAAACTGTGAACATGTCATCCTTCCACCACAATGAACAAGAAACCCCGACCCAATGCAACAAACTGACAGGCAAATGTTTTAAACGGACTGGTAAACTCCGAACCAGTTCACTACTCAACACAAACAGAATTTGGGAACAAGTAAGCGCGTCCTCAAATCAGAGCTGAAGTTTTGGGAATCACGGAAAATGAAAGGAATTTGGTCGGGCGGCAAACGGTGTGTGGCATCGCTTCAGGACCTACAATTACGAAAGCTCCTGTGTCCTTTACTCGTTTGTTCGCACTTTCTCGGGGAATGGCTTTCAGTGTCGTCTTTTGTTGCTCTTCACTTTTTGTTTGTTTTTTTTCACACTCACTGGCCTCAATCTCTTATACCGAGCAATCTAACAATTTAATGAACGTACTTGTATTTCGGCATACACGGTAAAGNATTACGAAAGCTCCTGTGTCCTTTACTCGTTTGTTCGCACTTTCTCGGGGAATGGCTTTCAGTGTCGTCCTTTATTGCTCTTCACTTTTTGTTTATTTTTTTTTTCACACTCACTGGCCTCAATCTCTTATACCGAGCAATCTAACAATTTAATGAACGTACTTGTATTTCGGCATACACGGTAAAGATTTACTTCTATCTTTTCGTTTTACTGTGCACGAACTTAATGAGACTGCCAGACTTCTTATCTTCAAGAATCGAATAGCTGCTGCCCTTTCCATTTTTCCACCAGTTCGTCACATAGTGAAGTAGAACTTTTTTCCTTCACACTTTTGACCTCACTTTACAGTGGGGCCCCATTTCTCGTCTTTTTTAACAACACAACTTTCGGTACTATTTCACTATTACAACCCCAAAAACTCAAAATTTTAATTTTCAATGAAACTTCGCCTATAGAGGTAATCCGATGCCCTGATAA